AACTGATCGTGCCCTCCAATGGGAACCACGGGCAAACCTCATGAATAAACTTAAAATACTGTAATAAATCTTTTTCTTTTACCTTAATCCCTCGTGTCTTGAGTGCCTTGCTGAGGCTTTCTAAAACAGTTCATGCTTGCTTAATGCTTGACCCATGCTGGAAAGGGGAAGGGGGTTGCCGTTCACTCACCGTGGCTCTAGCGGTGCGGCAGGCACTCGCGCTGCGTTGGCCTCGGAATTTACTTTCACTATCTGCTTCATACCCGGGCTCTCGAGCGGCTCCCTCATTGAATCCCCCGTGCCAGGCCTCCACGTGGGGCGCCACTTGACTCGGCCCGCGAGTCGAGACGTGGGGTAATGACCTGGAGGAGGAATGGGGATGAAAAAGACAGGGCAAGAGACACAAGAGACGGAGACAAGACAGGCTTTCTGATCAAGTCTCGTTTATTGAAGAAGTGAACAGGGGCTAAATAGCTGTATAGTGGAAGTAGTTGGGTGGGACTAGTTGTGGATTGGTAGTGAAGATCCAGGACCACAGGAAGATGCCGAGGCAAGCGGGGATTGGTGCTGCAGCACTTCTTGCCCAAATAAGGGAAAATATAACAGGAGCATTCTATCGCCCCCCACACAGTTAGAATGGGGCCGTGGCCCATTTCCTTGGTTCACAGTGGTGTTCATGTGTTCCCCAAATCTAGGCTTTGTTGCTCTGAGCTGGAAGCCTTGCACCTTCCATGTTGCATCTCATCAGTCCCTATCTGTGGGGTTCTTCCACTCTCACTGGACCAGCCAACTCATATTTGTTTCTCATCTGGGAAGAAAACTTTCTACTAGGGCCAGCTTCGGTGATGACATCACAGTGTGCTCAAATGAGCTCAGGAGGGAATGCAATATCAGATGTTCAAGAAACCAGGAATTATTAAAAAAAAAAAGAGGGGGCTTGAATATCTCCTTGACCCATGTATGTGGGAAATATATAGGAGAAAACGTGCTGATTATGATTTTAGTATAATATTTCAATATAGTACCTACCTACATCAGTAGTTTTGGCCACGAAGGCACTTTTGGCCATGAAGGCTTGAGAATATCAACCCATCAGTAATCCTTACAGTAGTGGAAAATTACATGTGCAGATGGGTCCTCTTGAGAAGATCATGGCAAGAGAAGAGAACAGGGACAAGAGGGAACCTGAGAGCTTGCTTACATTTAGGAAGTACATTTTTAGAAGGAGTGACACCGCAGGAGATGAGGAAGTACAGATCTATATAAGACCATTCTCACAAAAACCTAAAATGAAATTTAGGATTTGAGCAGGGTCAAAGTAGTGAGGAAAGTTCAAGCAGAAGATCACTATTATAAAATAAAGAAATTAAACAAAATAGCCAGTCATTAAGTTGAATAACATGTACTTAGCATCAGGGTTGGCAAGATCACTAGGGAACTGGAAAGAAAGAAAGATGAGTACAGAGGTAAATTCTGCATTAGGAAGATCTGAGGATTGATACTTTCCTGAATATCTGGAATCTCGAGGATCTGAGTTGATTACCAAAATACCAATTAAGCATTATGCATGGCCCTATATAATTGTGACCCCAATTGGCCTTTTAAGGATGACCAACAGCTTTGAGGTAGAATTTGCATTCAACAAAATTAGTCTATGTTAAGTGTGGAGAGTGGTGGAGGTTATACAACAGTGTGAGTATGCAAACGCCACTGAACTGCTCACTTCAAAATGGTGAAAATGGAGCATTTTATGTCACATCTGTGTACCACAGTAAAAGAAATAAATAAACTGAAAAGTGTGAGCTAAATAAATCTTCATCGCTTTAACTTTGGGTGTCAGGTATTTTGTCTAAGCAGTTAGAAAAAGTAAAACAGAAATCAATGTGTCATTCTTCTTTATTACCAAGCAGTATTCCATTGCATGAATAGAACACATTTTAATTATCTTATCATCAATGGTTAAACATTTGGGTTGTTTCTCCTTCTTAGCTGCTCTGAATAGTGCCATTTTGAACATTTGGGTACAAGTCTTTGTGTGGACATATTGTCAGTTCTCCTGGATAGATGCCTTCGAGTAGGATTGCTGGGCCATACGGTAATTTAACATTTTGAGAAATTGATAAATTTTTTTTGAAAATAGTGGCCTCATTTTATGTTCCCACCAGCAGTGTGTCAGGGTACTGATATCTCTAAATCACCAATAAAGCTTTGATTTTTTTTTAATTGCTATAGCCATTCGAGTGGGATACAACTTGGGGCTTTGATTTTTTTCATTTCACTAATGATTAATGATGCGAGGTATATTTTCCTGTGCTTTGGGGATATTTTATAATGTCTTTGGAGAAATGTGTATTCAGATTATTTTACTTGCTTTTAAAATTAATCTCTTTATTTTTTGTTATAAGAATTACTTCTGCATTCTGGATATAAATTCTTTGTGACATATGATTTGCAACTCATGCTGTGGTTTGTCTTTTCAGTTTTTTGATGAAAAGTCTTAAGTTGCAAAAACATTTAATATTAGTTAAGTCTGACTTGTTACTTTTTTATTACTATTTGTCCTTTTTCTGTCATAAATAAGAAATAATTACATGACCGAACATCGTGAGGGCTATTCCTATTTTTTCTTCTAACAGTCTCATGCTTTTAGCTCCATTCATGTTTTTGACTCACTTTGAGTTGTGTGTGTGTGTGTGTGT